TTTCTTTCTTTCTTTCTTTCCTTCCTTCCTTCCTCCCTCCCTCCCTCCTTCCTTCGTTCCTTCCTTCCTTCCTGCCTCCCTCCCCTCTTTCCTTTTTCCTTTCCTCCCTCCCTCCTTCCTTCCTTCCCCCCTTCCTTCCTTCCCCCCCTCTTTCCCTCCCTCTCTCTGTTTCGCCTTAATGGCAACAGAAGAAGGAGCCACACACTCTTATCTCTCTCTGCTACAGGAAGTGGGCAATGACTGTTGCCACCAGCTTTTCCGAAACACAGTTTCTTCCATCCCCACGGATACATTGAGAGCATCCACACTACAGAAATAACCTGGTTTGACATCGCCTGAATGGCCATGGTTCCATGCTGTGGAATTCTGGGAATGGTGCATAGGATGGTTGGTGCCTGACAAAACTACAAATCCCAGAATTCCATAACATTGAGACGGCCGTTAAAGTGGTGTCAAACTGGATTATTTCTGCAGTGAAGATGCACTCTTTAACCGCCGTGGCTCCATGCTATGGAATTTGGGGAATTTATAGCTTGTTGTGACCCTAGAGCTCTCTGGGAGAAGTGGCTAAATGTCTCACTAAACTACGATTCCCACAGTATGGAGCCATAGCAGTTAAAGCAGTTAAACCAGATTATTTTTGCAGTGTGGATGCAGCCATTGTCTCGCATTAACTCTCCCTGGGTTCTCTTCCCTTCTCCTTCCTTTTTGAACCAAACTTTTGAAACAAATTAGGTTTCTTCTTCTTTGTCTTCTCCGTTTCTCACTCAGTGCCACTTTAGGCTGGGTGGCAGAAGGGAGGGTTGATTTATTTTGCCACTTCGGATCACCAAAGGGTGTGCCTTGTAGGGTTAATTTATTCTAGGGCAGGCATTACAGACTTCCTTGTGTTGTGTTGCTGTGTATCTCTAGAGGCCAGAGGTGTGTTTGTGTGTGAGAGGGAAATGGTGCAGCATGTTTTGAAGAAGGGCTCTGTCTGTTTTCCTTCCTCAGGCTGAGTTCCTCATTCTTGATCTCTTTCCCCCTTCCTTTCCCTTCAGCTTCCCTTTAGGGTTGTGATGATAAATGTTCATTTATTGGTGTGGTTTTGAAAGCCAGGGAAAAAGCTGGCCTCCAACTGGGAAGGAAGAATGGCATCAGGCTTCCCTCAGGAGCAGGCATCCTCTTTTTCCAGGACGTGTCCTACATTTCAAACTTCTATCCAGGAGGAATTTTGAAATGTCCTCCATTTTGATCATGACTAAGAAGCATGAATTTATATTTCTGTGAGTGTTTCTAGCTTTTATTTTGTCATGCCCTTCTTTTTTCTGAAATGTCCTACATTTTGCAGTGCCTCATTCTCCTTTGTGCTTATGACATCTGGCCACTCTGCTCAGGAGGGGGTTTATTTTAATGGGGGGGGGAGCAGATTCAGCTTAATTGAGTGAATTCAAGGAAGAATTGCTTGGCATAGCAATGTGAAGAAATCCTAAATTTATGAAAGGAGACACTACCACCACCCCTCCTCCTTTTTGCTTCTGCATACAGTCATGTATGCTGTCTCTCTCTCTCTCATATGAATGACTTCATGTAATTTAATAATGTGAAATGAATTCTCTGTGGGCACTGTTTGTTTAATATTTGGCATGTAATTCTTACCGAGGCTAAACGAATTATGTTTTCTGACGTGATGCTGTGGTGATACTAGCCTGCTGAAATTATTTGAATGTGGGAGAAATGAAATGCAGCCAGGAAAAAAGAGAGTACCCATTTAGCCCTCTAAATGTGTGGGTTTGCTTTTTTTCATAATTAAAACATCCTACAGCTATAATTTAACCTCATACTATGTTTGAGTCTCCTAGTTAATTAGTAAAGGAGTCTTACTTTTATTCCTGCAGCTTTTTGTCTAGTCTCCCTCCATGTTTTACATGTGTGTGATTGCTATAAACCCATTTGCACCAGCAAGAAAGAATGTTACTAGCAATATAGATTCCTATGTATTTTAAGAGGCTTACACAGCACAATCCAATGTGCATGTCCCACTCACATTCCCCAACAAATTTATATAAAATTTAGCCATAGTCCTCATTGATGATTTTTGCACCTTTCTGTTCAGAGAAATATTTAACTGCAGCTTCACAATTCTGCATGGATTTTGATCTAGATAAAAGAGTTATGGAACCTGTTGCACACTGTCTAGCCAATAGTCTTGTTCCCAAGTACCTGTTAATGTGTCTGAACTCAGCATTTGCTCTTATATTTGTGTGTCTAGTTCTGCTGTAACTAGATTCCAGATTTTCTCATGGGGTGCATGATATTCTGGGGAAAATATCTCATTGTTCCTTCTTGTTGTCTTTACTTGATATGCTTCTCTCTATTCCTATAATTTTTTTACTTTGCTAACATAAAGGCCAAGGCACTTATGACTATGATGAATTACTGTTTAAACATAAATTGCATGGAAACAAGAGCAGACATTCATTTTTATAAAGTAATAAAAGAGTCTGTTGAGGAGTGCATGAAATGCTGTGTCTGTTTGCAGGGTACCTCCTCATGGTCTGTCCTCCTGTGGTGTATTTCTCCTCAGATGAACTCAGATAGTTCTGGACAGGAGAAGAGTGATTGGAAATGGTGGTAGTAAGTGTGCATTAGGAGGGTTCGTCACTCCTTACCAGTGCAATCTTTAACCAAACATTAATTCTACTTGGGGCCAGGTCTATGCTTAAATGCAGAGATCTGCTGCTGTGATATCTAGTTACTCCTTAAGTAATCAAAATTAGAATATGGATTTCTTGATGGAGTCTCCCCACCTGCAGTCAAATGTGACTAGAGTATATGTATTGTTTGTCCATTCAGATGCAAGTGAGAGCAGGGAGGAAAGAGTATGCAGTCTCTCTAGTGATTCTACATTATTATGTGTTCAGAGCCGGGAGTTATGGTGACACTGGTAAAGCTTAAACACTGGAAAGCTCTAAAATGTGTGATATGTTCTAAAAGGAAGAGCTGACTCTGAGTGGTTTTACTGTAACCATTCTGCATTACACTCCACACCCAAATAATAAACTCGTGGCATTCAACAGTATTAGCCAATGCGGAACTTTTGTAGGAAACTTTTGCAAGCTATATTTGTATATGGTATATCATAAATGAAGACAATAAGCTCCCAGCAAGAAAGTCCCTGGTTAACATTCCACCTCTACTGTCAGTTAAGTAGTCTTAGGGCCTTTGCATACAGCCAGAAATTGTGCAAATTGAATCCACTTTAACTGCCCTGACTCAGTGCTGAGGAGTCATGGGAACTGTAGTTTATTGTGGCACCAGAGCTCTCTGACAGAGAAGGCTCAATGTCTCAGAAAAAAATACAATTCCTATGATTCCCTAGCACTGAACCAGGGCAGTTAAAGTGGACTCAATTTGCACTATTTCTAGCAGTCTGCAAAGGCCCGTAGGCTAACAGCTATTTCTCAGTTTTTGTTGCTTATATGGGGATAATTCCAGTTTAATTTACAGGGTTCTTGCCAGAATTGTGATAACATGTGAAGTACTTATGAAAATAAATATTGCGGCATTTTTAGCAGTGGAAAAACATTTTATCAGATATAATTGCAGTTGTCCATCCAGAGTTATTGGGATAGAGGGAGGGTTTTTTTTTTGTAAATTACCCTTATAATAGATTCCTTGCCTGAGGAATGGTTCAAAATTACTTCTGTGCAATTCTTTGCATTGCCAGCCACACTGTTCAAATTACTGTGGGATATAACAGGCACATATTAAAGTTTCTGTGGCATGGTAGGTATCTTTAAGGGCTTTTCTGTGCAGCTTCTGTAACATTTATATCAGGTGTAGGCAACCTAAGGCCCGGGGGCAGCATGCGGCCTCCCGAGGCCTTTGGACCGGCCCCAGGCCAGTCCTGCCGCCGCCGCCGCCCCCCCTCTGCCCGCCATTATGATACTGATTATTGTTGTTATTACTTGTTCTTGGGGTTTTCTTGGCAAAATCTCCACAGGGGTTTTGTCATGGCTTTTCTGGGGCTGAGAGAGTGTGCATGCATATTTTTTTAAAAATTTTTAAAAATTATTTTATTTTTATTTTTATATTTATTTATTTATTTTTGGTGCTTCGGCCCCCCAATTGTCTGAGGGACAGCAACCCGGCCCCCGGCTCAAAAAGGTTGCCTACCCCTGATTTATAATAATGGTTCACAATATATTGAGAAGTTGTGGAGTTACTGATAGCTACTGGCTTGCACCGTTTTGAAGCTCCTCCTTCCTGTTACCTCTGTAAATCTTCATGTTAACATAAAACTTATGTTATGCTGCTTAACTTATTTTATATTAACATAAAATATTAATTATTAAAATCACTATGGTTACATACAAGAAGTTCAAGTAAACAATAGAATAAAAAGAAAACAAATTCATCAATGAAATCACAGTAAAAACAAAATTGAAATGACTAAATGCAGTGTAAAGGGTAAGTTGAACAGATGTATCTTAGCACCTTTTCAAAAAGTTGAGCACATGAAGATCTATCAATAAGCTGAGAGCATGAAGACCAATCTAAACTCTGAAGGGGGAACATTTCATGGTGTGGCAAAATCCCTTTCATGCATGCCTCTTGTATTGTGTGCCTTCAAATATTTTCCAACTTATGGAGAACCTATCACTGTTTTTTTCTTAGGCAGGATTTGTTCAGAGGGGGCTTTGCCTCCTTCTGAGGCTGAGAGAGTGGGACTTGCCAAAGGTCACTCAGTGAGTATCCATGGCTGAATAAGGATTTAAGTCCTGGTCTCCAGAGTTGTAGTCCAGTGCTCCAACCAGAGAGCCAGTGTGGTGTAGTGGTTTGAGTGTCAGACTGCAACTCTGGAGACCAGGGTCCGATTCCTAGCTTGGCCATGAAACCCACTGGGAGACCTTTGCCAAATCACATGCTCTCAGCCTCAGGAGAAGGCAATGGGACACTCCTCTAAACAAATATTGGCAAGAAAATCCCATGATAGGTTCACCTTAGGGTTGCCATAAGTCAGAAACGACTTGAAGGCAGACACCACCATCACCATAACTCAAACCACTACACCACAATAGGCCTCTGTAAGTTATGGTCTCCTCAAAAGGGTAGCTTCTGCTGACTGTAATAACTGAACAGGCTCCCTAGTGGTCCCTTAGGAAATAACTAGATCATAAGCAGTTTAGAGGTCTAAAGTTTAGAATTATCACCTTGAATTGATTCCAGAAAACTAATGATAAGCTGTGCAGATGTTTCATATGTAAACTTTAAATTAGGCCGTAAACTGCCTATACCCAAGCTATGTTTGGCTACTTGAAACTTAATAGGCAAAGTGAAAAACAAGTTACAGGGAAGACAGCTTTCAGGTAAAGACAGGACACTTTGTTTATATTGCTGGTGTGGTTGCATTGATTGGTGTGTTTGGATCCCTCTCTGGATCATCTGGAAATTGCATAAAAATTTTCACTTCAGTTTAAACTTATCTAATTCAGGAGATATGGAAATCCTACTGAGGTAGGATAGTGATGTTAGCAGTAGGCCTTATGGTAAAATGTGCTTATACACACATGCATAACATTGAATCACCTAGTATATGTCTTCCAAAACTGAGAGAACCCCATTTGAAAAGCCTGTGAAGGGTAAGGGATAAAGCTATCATAGTTCTCCCAGCTTAAAATGTAGTCTGAATATTATTTTGCAAAGGAGTGTTTTTCCTGTTTAGACTTCATTGGAATTTACCCAGAAAGTCCTTGAGGGAGAGCAAGTTTTAACCTTGGAAATGCCAGCAGCCAGAGTTTGAACTGTTCTCTCTATATTTACAGTGATAAGAGTTGAACTGTTTTTCTGCTTCAAAGATTGCTTGCTCCACCCAAAGAAAGCTGCCGATACAAATGCTTTGAAAAGGCGAGGTTGCTTTTGGTTTTACTCATGGGAAATATGACAAATACAGTGGTGTGGCAACAGCAGCACATGTTTTGACCTGTTTGGTGTGTGTGTGGTTTCCCCTCCCATCTATCTGATGAAGCTTTGGCAAACCTGTGTGGTATTGCTGGCTGTTTTCAAAATGATTTTAAGTGCATGTGCTTTATCCCAAGACAGAAAAGTATATTTAAAAAATAATCGTAACCCATTTAAGCACACCAATAATCGACTGCACATGCTCTGAAAGCAAAACTGGATGTTAACAACAGGTGAATAAACGGGGGAAAGGTGTTTCTTGATGCTAAGGTATACAAGAAAGAACTGAATGGCATCTTTTAGGTTAATACCTAATTTTTCTCCTTTATGTGGGTTTAGCCCAATTCAGTATTAAAGTGATAAATGACTTGATAATACCGATTTGATTTTTAGTGTAAGACAGAGTTATACTAGCAGTTGTACAAAGCCATCTGTCCTGCAGTTGGACTAGTGCAGAGATTACTTTTCAAGGGGATTGATTTGCTTGTAGTGTCAGTGTCTCTGCTGATGGGGCTGCCCTAGGATTAGAGAGAGTGACACACAAGGCAGTGTAGAGCTCTCTCTGTGTGTATGTACACCCTGAGGGTTGCAAGGGGAATATCTGCAATGGGTGACTTCATTAGTCTTAACTGAATTTAATTTATTATTGACAAGGACGTGCCTTTCCTAACCTTACAGAGTACTATGTAGGCACAGTAGAGACTTAAATGAGATGAATGGCTACAGAATAAAGACATTTGGAATATTTTGTTGCTAAATACTTTGAAATACCTTAATTTTTTCTTTTTTGCACCTTTCATCTAATCTTAGAAGCTAAGCAGGGTCAGCCCTGGTTAGTACTTGGATGGCAGATCATCAATGAACATCAGGTGCTGTAGGTGATATTTTAGAGGACTGGCAAACTGGCAAAACCACCTCTGAATATTCCTTCCCTAAGAAAACCCTATGGAATTAATGAGGTTGAGAGGTAACTTGAAGACACATACACACACAGCTGCAAAAATTTAAATGTGGATGTAGTAGACATATTAGGTAGTGTTGCTGTAGTGATTAGATTGATGAAACCTAGACTCAAATCCAAGCTCAGCAATTAAGAGCCTATACAGACTGCCAGAAATAATGCAGCTTGAGGCCACTTTAACTGCCCTGGGTCAGTGCTAGGGAATCATGGGAATTGTATTTTTTTTTCTGGGCCATTGAGCCTTCTCTGTCAGAGAGCTCTGGTGCCACAATAAACTACAGTTCCCATGATTTATTAGCACTTAGCCAAGGCAGTTAAAGTGGTCTCAATCAGGATTATTTCTGGCAGTCTGTATAGGCCCTAAATTCTGATGTAAGACAGTGAAAATAACCTAGGTAGAATCTGGGTTCAATTTCTGTTGTTCACATGCATTTCGAATGCATTCAGTTAAGTTTTGGGGAGGGCTGCCAGAAAAACCACTTAACCTGGGATAGTTAATCTTGGATGTTTTCCCAAGTTTTTCTGAAACTTTTGGATTCTCAGATGTGTGAATAACTGATGCAAATAGACCCAGGATAAACTGGGATAAAAACCTGCATGCCTTGAATGTGCTTCGAATACATTTGCATTGAGTGTTGATACGTGTGAGCAACCAGACTTGCAAAACTCATGAGATTATTTGCATAGTCATGCTAAAAAGCAACAACATATGAATAACTCCTCAGATATAAGTATCATTATGATATAATTCTCAGATAAAAGTTTGAGTTGCTGCTTTGGTAATCTTAGATAAGGAGCCTAAATTTTCATGACTGAGGTGTTAAATCTTTCAGAATCATGGTGTACGTACTTGTGGTGTGTGTGCGCGCTTTTGGAGTGCAGAGTTCATCCCAGTAGAGAAAGGCGCCTTCATTGTAACACCAAATCTGCTTTGCTCAGTGGAAGACAGAACAAGTTTTGTCTCTCAACTGTCTCTTTAATCAAAACATAGGAGGATCTGCTAGAAGTGCTTAACTGTGAAAGATACATTTGACATCTTGCATTCTTTGATTGGACAAGTGTGATTTCAACCAGGCTGCCAGCATTCATTCTAAATTTAATCACTATACGATAGAAAAGGATTTGAATTTTACTCACTCCCTCCGCCTCTGACTACTGAAGCTGCAGCTGCCAATATTGTATTATACTGAAAAGTGGCTTCTGGCTACTATGTGCAGTGATGCAAGCAGCAACCAAACAAAATTCCAGATAGGAGCAGTATACCTAGCCCTTTGGGTCAGGTAAGCCTTCTACGTAATCAGCACTTATCTGAGAAGAAAGAAAAGGGAATGCTTGTAGAAGGGACTTGAAAGGATCTAGTGAGGTTCAAAGAACCTACAATACTGAGAAAATTAAGTGTGTGTCAGCTGCTGGATGTGGGAAGAGGCATGAGGAACTGAATATAAATAAAGGGAAGCTAATGCAAATAACGTGGGGTTTTTTTGGATTTGAGTAATGGGGGGAGGATTGTAAGAGCTAAGTTTTTCTAAATCCGTCTTAAATTTCCAAATCTTGTTTTATAGGCTTCACTACTGTGGAAGCAGATAAAAACATATCTAGATAACATGAAGGGATGTAATTTATTTCACAACCAAATATAAATAGAAGAAAGCTGAAGAGAGTGTTGGATGCTGTAATCAGTATCTATTAAGACTTCAGCCTGACATTTTGTTAGTGATACACATTATTTTACACTCATGTATTCAGGCTTTTTGCATGATCTTAGCCGTTGCATGTTGGGTAGAGCATGTGGTTGACAGGTGGCAGTTTGGAGTAAATGAATGTGCATTTAACTGGAGGCAACAGGATGATGGTGCAGGTGGGTGGCAAAAAATCTAGTGGCTATGAACCACTTAATTGATCCTCTCCACACACACTTTTCATCATTTTTCAGCATCTCTGTGCTTCCAAACCCTGCCTAGGTATGGAGCTAGCTAACTGGAAAAAGAAAAATATGGAATGGTAGATTCTAAACATTTCTGCCTGGGTATAAGTCTCACTAGATCTTGAGGAAGTGGTCCGTCCACCTAATAAGTGTTTTTATTTTGTAATTGTAATATAGTAGCTGAATCACCTTCTCTATAAGGCAGGAATGGACTGACTGCACAGTGGTGTGCTCTGTCATTTTTTTAAAAAATGCTAGAATCCTTGTTGTGCATGTTAAATTTGCAAAGAGGACTTAAATATAGGACAATGTAATATATAATACAGTATACTGCCAGATCATGCCTAACCTAATATTATTTGTAAGAATTCCAACATGAGCTGGTTCAGCAGAATCTGATCATGGTCCATAGGTTACATTCTGACCACCTTTCTAGTAACACATGAAGAAAATAAATAATTGAAATAATGAGATAATCGCTTAGAAATCCTGGATATTCTGAGTTAACTTTATTGTGGAACATTCAACATTCCCACAACAATATGAAAACTCGGTTTTTAATGTGACACAGTAATTCCCTACAGAAATCCCCTTTCACAGGTCAGGTCTCCCTGGACTGTGTGCAGTGATATGGAAGGTATTGTAGTGCATTGGTCAAGAAGAGATTTCAACAGTACTAAATATTTAATACCATCTAACATACAGTAGGTTTCCTTCTTTAAAAAATGAACTGATGTTTGTTTTTAGACTATCCTGAGTTTTATCTATCCTTCCATGGTATCAATGGCTGCTGTGTCAGACGTTTGAAAAGAGCAATTCATTAAGGATACCAGTGCATTTTCAAATGATTTGGGGTTGGAAAAACTGGTGCAGTCTGTACTTCTCTTATCCTATTGCCAATTATCAGTGTTCAGGTTGTCTGCCAGTTTCTTTGTGAAGCTTTATCATGCCTCCCTTTCTCAAACATTGCTCTGCCATCCTCCTTACCCAATGTGTCTTATATGTAAAGAAGTTTGGTTACTCATGTGTCTTCACTGCTGACTAAG